TTTTTTTCTGCTTATGTGGTGCTGAGGAATCGAACCCAGGGCCTCATGCATGCAAGGCAAGCACTCTACCACTAAGCCACCTTCCCAGCCCATTAACCTCTATTTTTGATACCAGTAATCACACATGGAAGTACACACACACACACACACACACACACACACACACAGGTTCTGAGATAGCTGTTATAATTGTTGATCAGCCTCTTGTTTGAGAATGTGCCTGTCATCCTAGCTACTCAGGAGGCTGAGATCTGAGGATCACAGTTCAAAGCCAGCCTGCGCAGGAAACTGAGACTTTTATCTCCAATAAATCACTCAGAAGACTGGAAGTGGCACTGTGGCTCAAGTGGTAGAGTGCTCGCCTTGAGCCGAAGAGCTGAGGGACAGTGCCCAGGCCTAGTTCAAGCCCCACGACCAACCAAAAAAAAATACGTTTGCTGTTGCTCTTATTTCTCAGAGAGAATCGGATGGTGCTTTGTTTATGTGCACAGCTCACAAGCCTCCTGTTGTCCTTTTTGGAACAAAGCCTTGCTCTGTAGGCCTCTGTGGAGCTCTGCCTTCCTCCCTCCACTTCTGAGAGCAGGGATTACAGGCCTGCAGCACCACACCTGCTCCACCTTGCATTTACCACGTGGCTTCCAGTGGGGTCCAGCACATTTGATTGGCTGGCTTTTGCTGTGAGCATCGCTGTGATGGGCTCTCTCCGGGAGGGGGTAGGACTTCAGGTTTGCATCTGATTTTCCCGTGATGGGGTCCGTTTCTGCACCCCGATCTGGCTGTGAATTTGCTGTCCTGCTGTCCTGCCTCCCCTGTGCTTGGATCCCTGGCATGTTCACTACTGCTTTAAAGAATTGCCAGGTGCCAGTGGCTCACACCTGTAATCCTAGCTACTCAGGAGGCTGAGATCTGAGGATCACGGTTCAAACCAGCCCCGGCAGCAAAGTCCATGAGACTCTTATGTCCAATAAACCACTAGAAAACCAGAAGTGGTGCTGTGGCTCAAATGGTAGAGTGCTCGCCTTGAGCTGAAGAGCTGAGGGACAGCGCCCAGGCCCAGAGTTCAAGCCCCGCAACCGACAAAAAAAAAAAAAAAAAAAAAAAGTAAAGAATTCAGAGAGAGGTAAAACTGGGGGGCTGCGTGACTGGGCAGGGAGCAACTGTCTGTTTCCTGGAAGGGCAGGAGGCCTGTGCACCCCTGCCTGCGACTCGGCCCAGAGCGCTGACCGCAGCGGAGCCTCGGTGCTGGGGCGCAGCAGCGTGGTGTGGTGTGGCTGCTGTCTCCCTGGGCTTCCTCCCCCTCCCCAGGGAGGGGCAGCTGGCACCAGCCGGGAGCCCTGGGGTCCCAGGCCCCACCCCTGCTAACAGCAGAGCCGCTCTCTCACCACCACCCAGCGGCTGGCGTTCCCTTCCCTTTGTGTTGATGCGGGGCGCGCAGCTGAGTGGGTGGGCAGGTGGTAGATGGGTGGGAGAGTAGGTGGGGGTAGGTGGATGGATGGTTGGAGGTGGGCGGGTGGGTGTAGGAGGGTGGGTAAGCAGGTGGGCAGGTAGGTGGCTGGTGGATGGGTGGGTAGACGGGGGTGGAGGGGTGGGGAGGGAGGCTGGGTGGTGGATGTGTGGAAGCACGCGTCATGATTTCAGAAAGTTAAATGTGAACAATTTTCTTTTAGAAAGCCTATCCTGTAAGAGGTTTTAGAAACATCACATTTCATGAGAATTTCTTTACATAAAAACACTGGGGTCTTTGACACTCCTTGGTGCTGAACTCTTCCCACAAGCCACGGTCCCAGGGCCCTCGGTGTGCAAGCACGGGCTGCAGGCCTGGGGGGCACTGGTGTGGGTGTGCAAGCAGGGGCCCCGGGCCTGGGGGGCACTGGTGTGGGTGTGCAAGCATAAGCCAGGGTCCCAGGGCCCTCGGTGTGCAAGCAGGGGCCCCGGGCCTGGGGGTGCTGGTGAGCAAGCACAGCTGGCTGTTCCTCAGTGCAAGGGCAAGCTCTGCTGTGAGATGCTCCTGTGAGTCTCAGCTGAGCCTCTGCCTGAGGATTGCCAGCTGGGACCCACGCTAAGCCTCTGCTCCGCAGAGGCGGGGCAGTGCGGTCAGGCCCCGCCCCCCGGCACCGGTGTTGGTTGGTGTGAGGAGTGAGAACGCTGGCTGAGGAGTCGCTGGCTGAGGAGTCGGAGAAGACGGGCAGTGGGTGGGGAGGCCGAGGTCCCAGTGCTCTGGGAAGGCAGCACCGGCACGGGAGGCGCAGGAGGCGCCAGGCGGCCCAGAGATTTGCCCCCAGGGGACGTGGAGGCAGTGCGGCGGCCAGGGAAGGTGCAAGCCGTGGAGCCCCGCTGGCGTGGCGCTCATGACCCCAGGCAGGAGGGGTCCTTCCTTTCTGGTTCTGCTGGTCTGATGGCCTTAGGAGAAAGTTCCTGAAGAACCTGCGACGCTGTCACCTGGCACTGGGGAGCTGCGGTGCTGGCACACTCAGTCTCCCAGCCCCCGCTGCGTGGAGCCCGCATCCTGCCCCTGGGCCTGCTGTCTCTGCCACGCTGGCAGCGGGGCGACGCTTGTGCCAAGCACTCGCACTGGGCATTCTGCAGTTAGACTGAGACGCGCCGGCCAGCAAGGCCTCAGGCCTGCGTCTGACTTGAGTCAAGTGTAGGTAGGAAGGGGCGCAGCCTCTGCAGCGGAGTGCTCTCCCTTGGCCCTGTGGCTCGCCCGGGTGGCGCCGCCCCAGGACCTGGGCCACGCTTCACAGCGTGTGCCACTTACAGGGCGCCCAATGCCCTCCCGCACGGAGGTGGCAGCGAGTGAAGTGGGTCTTACCCGAGGCAGAGGTGGTGGGCGGTGGCTCCCAGAGTCTGCAGAGATAAACCCATCCGCCCCCCCCCCCCAGCAGACCCCCTCACAGGGTCTCATGACCGGCACCTGCAGGTCTAACGCCAATATTGCTACATCTCCTGCCTAAGGACACAAGATGCATTTGCATCTCTTCCAGCTCACATCTTCCAGATGCTGGGGATTCAGTTACTGAGGCTGCTGAGCCTCCTTCACCCAAGAAAAAACCAGAGCTTGCGCCTGCGGCCTCTGAGCAACAGCGCAGGGCTGGAGCAGAGGCTTGGGTAATGTGTGTGGGGTGTTGAGTTCTGAGCAGAGGGTGCCCGGCAGCCCTGCCCCAGGGCAGGCCCTGTGTGACCAGCGCAGGGAGTGAGGGGGCTCTGGACTGCCAGGCAGCTGCTGCAGGGGGGCGGGTGGGGGGAGAGGCAGGATGGCACAGGGGCCAGCGGCACAGGAGCCGCACTGGTCTATGCAGCTCAAGGCCCTACGCTGCCGGTCCAAGTGTCTGGTCCCACGAGGCCTTCTCCCACAGCGACGGAGCCGTGGTGCTGGGGGGGGGCGTGTGTTTACACAGTGCTGGCTCCATGCCCGGCCCACCCTGCTTATGCAGTGCTGAGTCTGCCTGTCAGTCACAGTGCATGCGGTGGTGAGTCAGTGTCAGTCACACTGCATGCGGTGGTGAGTCAGTGTCAGTCACACTGCATGTGTGGTGGTGAGTCAGCGTGTCAGTCACAGTGCATGCGGTGGTGAGTCAGTGTCAGTGACACTGCATGTGTGGTGGTGAGTCAGCGTGTCAGTCACAGTGCATGCGGTGGTGAGTCAGTGTCAGTGACACTGCATGTGTGGTGGTGAGTCAGCGTGTCAGTCACAGTGCATGCGGTGGTGAGTCAGTGTGTCAGTCACACTGCATGTGTGGTGGTGAGTCAGCGTGTCAGTCACAGTGCATGCGGTGGTGAGTCAGTGTGTCAGTCACAGTGCATGCGGTGGTGAGTCTGCCTGTCAGTCACACTGCATGCAGTGGTGAGTCTGCCTGTCAGTCACACTGCATGGGGTGGTGAGTCAGTGTGTCAGTCACAGTGCATGAGGTGGTGAGTCAGTGTCACAGTGCATGTGGTGGTGAGTCAGTGTCAGTCACTGCATGCGGTGGTGAGTCAGTGTGTCAGTCACACTGCATGCGGTGGTGAGTCAGTGTCAGTCACTGCATGCGGTGGTGTGTCAGTCACACTGCATGTGCGGTGGTGAGTCAGTGTGTCAGTCACTGCATGTGCGGTGGTGAGTCAGTGTCAGTCACTGCATGCGGTGGTGAGTCAGTATGTCAGTCACACTGCACGCGGTGGTGAGTCCGCGTGTCAGTCACACTGCATGCGGTGGTGAGTCAGTGTCAGTCACTGCATGTGGTGGTGAGTCAGTGTGTCAGTCACAGTGCATGTGTGGTGGTGAGTCTGCGTGTCAGTCACACTGCATGTGGTGGTGAGTCTGCGTGTCAGTCACACTGCATGTGGTGGTGAGTCAGTGTGTCAGTCACACTGCATGCGGTGGTGAGTCCGCGTGTCAGTCACTGCATGCGGTGGAGTCTGTGTCAGTCACACTGCATGCGGTGGTGAGTCAGTGTGTCAGTCACACTGCATGCGGTGGTGAGTCAGTGTCAGTCACTGCATGCGGTGGTGAGTCAGTGTCAGTCACACTGCATGCGGTGGTGAGTCAGTGTGTCAGTCACACTGCATGCGGTGGTGAGTCAGTGTCAGTCACACTGCATGCGGTGGTGAGTCAGTGTCAGTCACACTGCATGCGGTGGTGAGTCAGTGTCAGTCACACTGCATGCGGTGGTGAGTCAGTGTCAGTCACTGCATGCGGTGGTGAGTCAGTGTGTCAGTCACACTGCATGCGGTGGTGAGTCAGTGTCAGTCACTGCATGCGGTGGTGAGTCCGCGTGTCAGTCACACTGCATGCGGTGGTGAGTCAGCGTGTCAGTCACACTGCATGCGGTGGTGAGTCAGTGTGTCAGTCACACTGCATTCGGTGGTGAGTCAGCGTGTCAGTCACACTGCATGCGGTGGTGAGTCAGTGTGTCAGTGGTTCTCCTCCTCAGCCCCCACCACTGGCCAGGCTCCTTGTGTTCCGACTGGAGCTCAGGCTGCTGTGGCTAACCGTCCACTCAGGACACTGGGCTCATGCAGACACTTCCAGGGTGCATTTATTTCAGGATGGAGGAGCATGCACACACATGGTTGCAGGAGGTGGCATTCCCAAGTGTGCCGGCCTCTTCCTCCTAGAACACCCACAACCCGCACAGGACATCCGGCCGGCTTGGGGATGGTGGCCAAGAGGTAGGAACTCGGGGTTTCTGGGGAGCCTCAGCCCCACCTGCCCTGGGGCGCGGCCTCCACTATGGAGCCTTGGGGAAGCTTCACACCTAAGGACGTTCTGGTGCCTGACATGCCCTTGTGATTGGGGCAGGTGTCCTGACCTGACTTCAGGCAGGAACGATACACTCGTGCTACACGCCCAGGCTGAGCCACCAGCCTGTGCTCTCCGAGTGCCCCCTTGGCTGGTGGGGCAGCCGCTGGCTGACTCGCCCACCCGCGTGCCAGGAGAAAGGCTTGCCTTCAGTGTGCCGGTGGCAGTAATGCACGCGCTCCTGTCGACAGGTTCAAGGCCTCGGCCTCCAGGAGAGGCGCAGGAGGCCACGGGCTAGGCCAGCTTGAGGCACTGGGTGTTGAAGCTGTCTCCTTCCTTGCTGGCCACCGCCTCGAGCAGACTCTGCTTCTTCTGCATGCTCCGCGAGGACTCGAGCTCGTACATGGTGGTGAGGTTGAAGAGCACGCTCTCGTGCAGCCGCTGCCCTGGCTCCCGCTGCACCATGGTCTCCAGCTGCCGCAGGGACTCCTTGAGCTTCCCCAGGTACAGCAAACACACGGCGGCGTTGTTGTTGGCCTGGGGGAGGCACGGGTGTCCGGACGCCCTGCCCGAGTCTGGGGCGGCCACCCCCCCCCAGGGCACCGCCACCAGCAGCGCTGCAGAGGCATGGCCTTCACGGACCACATGCATGTTTGCAGCATCTGCCAACGGCAGAAGGCCGGGGCGCTGCGGTGCCCCATCTGCCTCCATGCAGGCGCCTTACCACTGCGTTGGTGGGGTCCATCCTCAGAATCTCCGTGAAGAATCGGTGGGCTTCCGCGAAGTTATTCTGGCCGAGGTGCAGGAAGGCTCTGCGGGGGTGAGTGGTGGGTAAGCCGGGGCCTGGGAGGGCCGCCGCCAGTGCACCCCCTGCCGGGGCGGTGGGGTGGCTGAGCACGCATGTGCTGCTGCTGCCCGCACAGCCCCAGCCAGCCAAGACCACTTCCCACCCACAGTCAGCCTCTGCCACCGCCACCGGAGGCTCCCTGAGATCTGAGGACAGGAAAGTCATGAGACTCTTACTGCCAGGCCAAAAAGCTGAAGGTGGAGCTGTGGTTCAAGTGGTAGAGCGCTGGACCTAGACAAAAAGGCTGCAGACAGCTCCCAGGACCTGGGTTCGAGCCCCAGGACCGGTACCTACCACACTCTGCCCCAGCTTGCCCCTGCGCGGGTCCACTCCCAATGCATGCCTGCTGGGCTCTAGGCACTTGCCCAGTGCTGTATTTATCCATGTATCTGGGGCTGTGTGACTGTAAAAAACAATCTCAACATCTTAGCGTGACCCGAGGCAGCGATGTGCCAGACACCAGCCTCCATTCAGCGGCTCACACAGGGCCCTGCGCGGCCTGCGGCAGCACGAAGGAGTGCCTTAAGTCGAATTTTCTAACTAAAAGAACCAGCCTTGGGTTCGATTCCTCAGCACCACATCCACAGAAAAAGCCGTAAGTGGTGCGGGCTCATGTGGTAGAGCGCTCGCCTAGAGCAGAGAGGCTCAGGGACAGCGTCCAGGCCCTGAGTTCAAACTCCAGTACTGGCAAAACAAAAAGAACAGGGCCGTGACTGTGGGAGGTACCAGTGAGCCCTTGGCGGCAGTCGGCGGGGTGCTGGGAGGGCGCCCCCCACCCCACCCCACCCCCAGGAAGTCAGGATTAGAACACGCTCACGGGGAAGTTCTCACCTGTTCATCAAGACCATGGTTTTACCCTGCAGTCCGTCCAGCTTCTGTGCCACCTTCTCAACCTCTTGAAAATACTTCTCAGCGGTTTTGATGTCTCCAATCTGCGTTGACAAAATCAGCTTGTCACTCCGTTGGCAAGTCAGATAGGTGTGGGTATGGGGCCCTGGCGTGGAGCCAGTGGGAGTCTGTCTGTCTGAGGAGGCTGGGCGGTGAGGCCGTGGTGTCAGTGGGAGTCTGTCTGTCTGAGGAGGTGGGCGGTGAGGCCGTGGTGTTGGTGGGAGTCTGTCTGTCTGTCTGAGGAGGCTGGGCGGTGAGGCCGTGGTGTCGGTGGGAGTCTGTCTGTCTGTCTGAGGAGGCTGGGCAGTGAGGCCGTGGTGTCGGTGGGAGTCAGTCTGTCTGTCTGAGGAGGGTGGGCGGTGAGGCCGTGGTGTTGGTGGGAGTCTGTCTGTCTGTCTGAGGAGGGGGGTGGTGAGGCCGTGGTGTTGGTGGGAGTCTGTCTGTCTGTCTGAGGAGGGGGGTGGTGAGGCCGTGCAGAGCAGCCTGCTCCCCTGAGTAGCTCACTCGCCGCGCACACTGGCTTTAAAAGTCCACCGCTTAGAATTAAGCAGACAAGCATCTAATTCCATAAAATTAAAGCGCTTAAACTTCTTCTGGTGTGATATGGCAGGCCAGCCTCTCTGTCCCCACCCCAATTTGGTTGCTGTGACTCGCAAGAGGGTAGTATTTTGAGCAAATATAAACAGCCCCCACAGGCCCAATGCTATCCCGTGGGGAACCCATCAGCTCCACAGTGAAACACAACCGGGCCCGGGCTGGCCGACCACAGGCTGTCCCCGTCCCCCCCCCCCCCCCCCCCCCGCAACCCAGACGCACTGCTGTGTCAAGCATCAGTATGGAGGCTGTACACTGCACATGACTGCGCATGTGTAGCAGCGGGGCGTCGGCCCTCGAGTGTCTGTTCACAAGCCTCTGGCTCTCACCGGCAGTGCCCTGCGGCCTGTGAGCATGTCACAGACACCCAAATGGCCCCTGCAGGAAAAACCTTCCCCACCTTCTCTTTCAAGTTCTTCCAGGGCCGAGTGCTCGCCTAGCATGCAGGAAGCCCTGGGTTCGAAACAGAAAAAGCTGACAGTGGTGCTGTGGCTCAAGTGGTAGAGGGTTAGCCTTGAGCACAAAAGCAGCTCAGGGACAGTGCCCAGGCCCTGAGGCAAGCCCCAGGACTGGTAAAATAAAAGTTATTCCAAACCAGTGGCTCACGCCTGTCATCCTAGCTACTCAAGAGGCTGAGATCTGATGACCACAGTTCGAAGCCAGCCAGGACAGGAAAACCCTTGAGACTCACATCTCCCATCAACCATCAAAAGTGGTAGAGCACCAGCATTGGGTTGCTAAGGGACAGTGCCCAGCCCTGCGTTCAGGCTCCAGTGTGGGCACACTGAGTTACTCGAGCGACGTTCCAGCTTCAAACCTGGAAGGAAACTTCCCTTAGAAGGGCGCTGTGCTCCGGCAGCTCCAAGTGCCAGTCATCGGCTGCTCAGGAGTCTACAGCACACACGCCACACATCCTTGGAAACCGGACCCCTTAACTACAGGTGTCACAGAGTACACACAGCTCTAACAGCAAAGATGAAGGAGTGGTTTTCTTTAGGAAACAATTCTGCTAGAAAACCACATTTAAAACACATAAGTGCACAAGTGTGACTCTAAATCGTCATTTAGTATGCTCTGCACTGTGCGTGTAAAACTAGCCCCACCCATGGTGTGCCAAACCCACACCCAATGTTTTCTGGTTGTAACCAAAACCCCACCAGCAAATGACTTCATTCCTTTAAAAAGTTCACTTACACTTCAAAGAAAAGGGGCCTTTGTCCCTTTCTCAGGCTCCTAAGAAAGCTGCATGTACAAAGCAGTTAAAGTAATCCTCTGGATAACGGGAGACCGGCACTGGCAGGACCTGCGGTGCCCACGGCTGGCTGGACGCCTCCCCTCTGCGCTTCCCCACTCTGCGTAGAGACTCTGCCTTGCCTTCAGTCTCTAGCCATCTCCCCTTGCTCCCTTTCCTCTCGTCTGCCCGTCCGTCTGCACATCTACCCACTTCGGCAGGGCAGGCCCATGGTCTCTCCGGCGCTTCCTGCTCGCTGACTGAAGGAGGCCAGGCGTCAGACAACAGCAAGGCCCTAGTGGTCATGGATGGCCTGCAGCTGTCCACAGAAGCAGAAGAGGACGCCGGAAGCGCTGTGGCGAACGTGGAGATGTCTGCAGCAGAGTACGTGCGCACTGCCGCCCCAGTCCTCAGCTGAGTGGTCACGGCTGAGTGCACGCTCCTCTCTCCTTGGAAGGTTCCAGGGGTGCTGCATGTGGGAGGGGCGCTGAGGGACCTGCGGGAGGCTGGCCCCCACAGCGCACCTGGCCTGACTCAGCCGCTCTCCTCTCCTCTCCCATCACCGGCTGGCAGTGCGGAGTCCCGGGGCAGGGGTGGGCACGCTGATCAGACTTGGTCCTTGTCCCCCAGATACTGAGCCCAGCATCCAGGTTCTTCTCTCCTCCCGCGGCGTTGTCCTGGGCCAGCTCCTTCCCGCCCCGGGCCACCTGGCTCTGCCGTGCTCCCTCCACCCGCCCGCTCGCGGCGGCGCTCCAGGGCCAGCGCTCCTGCAGTCTCCCGCCTGTCTTTTCCTGGCAGGGCTGGAGTTGGAGGTCTGCACTCTATGGCTGCTAGGCAGGCACTCTACTTCCCGAGCCCTGTCCTCAGGCCTTTCTGCTTTACTTTCCGATACTGGGACCTCTTACCCAGGCTAGCGTGGGATACCAGTCCTCCTGTCTGCATCTTCTTCCTGGCCGGGCCTCAGCTCCAGGGGTAATGACCGGTCCTGACAGCCTCTGGGCCACACCTCAGTCAGGTGTCCGACTCCTTGGCCTGGCAGGCCGACCTCTGGTGTCCAGCAGTGTTTGAGAAATGCAGGATGGACAAGAATCTTGCTAAGGGTTTAGTGAGAATCCTCATGCCCGGGCCTGGCAACCCGGCCCTCCGATCACGGGCCTACCTTTACCAACAGTGCTATCCAGCCAGATGCCAGAGACCCCGCCTGCTCTCCGCCCTCCCTCTCCCCGCGGCGAGGCCCGTGCTGGGGTCCCCGAGGAGTCTTGTGCCCAGGCGTCCGCATGCTCTTCTCCGCAGCGGCAGGCTTCTTTACCGATGCTGGGCGTGACTCCCATCAGACCGAGGATTTGCACATCTCCTCTCCCGCTTTGTAGGCGCCTTTTCGCTTTCTCTATGGTGTTCCCTGACGCTGAACGGCTTTTTAGTCTCGGTGAAGTCACCTCACGCACGTTTCTTTCTTTTCTGCTCATGGTTTTGGTGACCCTGCAGGACCCAGCCGCCCAGCCGAGTCCCGGGGGAGGCCCGTGTCTCTGGCTGTTGCTGGGAATGCACTCAGGCAGGGCCGGCCAGCCCCTTCTCTGGGAGACCAGGAGATACCTGTTTGAACACTGTATTATTCCTTCTTCCTCCCCCTTTTTTGATGTCAGTTGTGGTGCTTGAACCCAGGGCCTCACATTCTTGCTTCGCATTTTTTTTTTTACTTCAGGCTGGCTTGTTACCACTTGAGCCACAGCTCTACTTTTGTCTTTTTGCTGGCTAATTGGGGATAAGAGCCTCACAGACTTTTCTGCCTGGGCTGGCTTTGAACCGGCACCCTCCGGTCTCAGTCTCCTGAGTAGCTGGCGAGTCCTCAGCACGCAAGTTTATCCACATGCTGAGGGCACAAACGTGAACTTCCACGCACGCGTATCATGTGCTTGAACCTATTACTCTCCCCTTTAAATATTAATGAGTTTCGTTTATTTTTTAATCACCGCCCCCCCCTTCCCAGGGCAGGCTGGGCAGAGCTCTGCACTGCCGGTAGAAGTCAGCGCCCTCCTCTTCCGGGGCGGGACCTGGCGGGCTGGGCTGTGTGTCTGTCCACAGGCCGACGCCAGGCGGGGTGTCAGTACTCTCGCCTGCCTCTTGACATTCCACTGGCCACCGCCGCTTACTCTGCGTGCCTATCCCGTGCCAGCCCACGCCTCTTCTCAGCGTCTTCCACTTGGTGTGTTCTGCCCCAGAAAACCATGCTCAGACCTTCCCCACCCCAGACCCCGCAGCCAGGCCTGCTCAGGCCCTGCTCGCATCGAGGTGTGCTTAGTAATGCAGCCTAGCGGCCCCTCCTTTGTGGAGGGCGGAACTTCCTTTGCAAGCTGTGTCCGTGCTCTATCAAAGTCACTGGTCCACGTCCGGCCCCTCCATTTTCAGGCTGGCACAAAAGCCACTGTGTTGGTGCGTGTAAATGAGGGCACTTAGGACGAGTACAAGGTTTGGAAGCCAGTCTGGTGAAGTGACTAAGGATGAGGCCTGCTCCTCGGGACTGCCCCTGCTCTCCATGCATGGCTAGGCTCCTCCGCGCGGGAGCCGTGAGCAGTGGACATGCGCAGGAGTGAGGGGTGGGCGTGCGCCGTGACGGCAGAGCATGGACGCCAGGCAGTCCTGCCTGTGATGTCAGCATGGGGCGGGGGGGGGGGCTCCCCTCGTCCCTGGGAACTGACCCTACTCTAACACTTCTTTGTTTTGGGAGAGGGACGGTCCCAGGGCCACGTGTGTGGCCGACGCCCAGCGGTGACTGGCCGAAGACAGGAAGTGTGTTACGTACTTCCTAAGAAGCACCAGCACAGCTCTTCAGGAGTAAGCCACCCTGAAGGTTCAATAGTTCTGTTGCTGGGAGACCAAGCAGAGGGTGGAGCCCCTGGGTCCCCAGTATTTCCCCATGTGATTATGGGTGTGACAGATAAAGGCGTTCAAGCAAACTGGAGCACCCAGAGTGCAGAAGCAATAATCCCACCCAACGGCATGGAATTACCCAGCCCTCCACGGCCGCTCACTCCCTTTCCGTCTGGTGCAGGCTCCTGTCTCGTATTTCCGCACGCTCTGCTGCAAAGGCCATTGCTTCTCTTTGAGAACCAGAACAGAAGTGCTGCTCTGTCCCTTTCCCAGACGCAGACCGAGCAGGCTCCGAGTGCAGGCTTCCTGCGCTGCTCAGCTCATGCGGGGGGATGGGGAGGGGGCACTGGGTCCCTAGCTCCTGGGAAGGGGGGAAGGAGGAGAGGGCAGAGGCGGCGCTGGGTCCCTAGCTCCTGCGGGGGGGGGGGGGGGGAGGAGGGGGCAGAGGCGGCGCTGGGTCCCTAGCTCCTGCCAGGTGTGGGGGCGCGCGGGGTGTGTGTGTGTGTGTCCAGGCGTCCAGAGCACTGTGCCTGCCACTGAGGCGGCAAGCCCTGGCGGGACTGTGTGTCTCACTGGGCGGGCGCTGCAGGCGCCGGTGCCGAGGGCTGGCCTCTGGCCTGGAAGATTTGTCTCGTTCGGTGCTGGTCCTTGCAGGTGGACATCTCAGCTCCCGCCCGCAGTGCAAGGCGTGCTTCAGGAACAGGAGCGGGCTGGGCAGCAGGCTGCACCGAGGGCACTCAGCTCTGTAGCAATCCTTGAGGTCAGGTGGCACCGGCCTGGTGACGCGGTCTGGCACGCGACCCGGCCATGCGACCCAGCTGTGCGACCTGGCACGCGGGCCGGCCGTGCGACCCGGCCGTGCGACCCAGCCATGCGACCCAGCCGTGCGACCTGGCTACGCACCTCACCTCTGCCCCTGCTCTGTCAGCGCTGGCTCCTGTGTCTCCACGGTCAACACAGTGGACTGAGGACAGCACCTGGCCCCAGCTTCCTCATGCTTCTCTGCTCCTGACAGCAGTGTTCACTCCGGGAATGAAACGAGCCCCACGGCACACGAATCTAGCTTTGGGTGGCGTGGCTCGGGCTGTGGCCACTGGAGGGAGGATGGAAGACCGAGAGAAACTGAGCTGCGCAGCCTGGGCAAGCGCGGAGCCCGGGGGGCCTGGCGCAGGCTGACTGGTGGCACCAACGTGGCAGAAGAGGCCAGCTTCAGGAGGGCTGTGGGCAGCTGCCAGGGGAGCACTGGTGCTGTGGCGGCACCCAGGCCCGGCCCAGCGCTGCAGTCCTTTGCGGGGTCACAGGGTGAACCAACGCCAGGTCTGATCCACAGAGCGCAGGAAGGCCTGGTGCACTACGGGAGGCGCCCAGGATGCCGCGGGAACCTGCGGGGGCGGCCGTGCCCATCGGCCCCGAGGAGGTGATGTGGCATGGGCTCTGTGGCCATGTTTATGGTGGCTCCACCACTGGGCCCCGGAGATGTGGCTGAGGGCGACACTCCTGTCTAGCGGATGCGGATGCAGGAGGACCCACTGCACTAACCCCGTCCTGGCGCGGAACTTCCCGTATGGGTGTCTGCCAGGGAAGTGTCCCAGAGAGCTCAAGGGTGCCCTGGAGACAGGGCCCACAGACGGCCGCAGGCTTTGCTCTTCAGCATCGGGAAGTTACCGTGAGGAGAGCTTCTAGGAGTTGTCCAGGTGAAGCTCTTCCTCCCTTGGTGCTCTGTCCCCAGCAAGGCAGCCAGAGCACCAACAGCGGCCGTCAGCTAAGCCCAAGCACACGTCTCTAGCCGGGCCGCACATCCCCAGCGGCGGTGGCACTGACAGCTTCCCACCAGCTCCCCTCAGCGCGTCCCAGAAAACCTGCAGCACCGCTCCTGGTGGCCGGCGCGGGGCTCACACAAGCCGGCAGGACGACACAGCCAAGCCACGGCTGCTGCCGAGCCTGCCACGCCACGCCCCTGCCAATGTCAGCCCCAGCTCTGCTGCGCCACTGCCCATCCTCCTGCACTAGTGTTTATCCTGCTGAAGTTCATCTCCGAGCACAGAGCTCCTCCAGGCCCCACCCTGCGCACCTGGAGGAGAATCCGGCCGATCCCGCTCAGCAGCTGTGGCTCCTGCTCCGGGTGGTACTCAATGACTGCGCGGTAGGCATCCACAGCCAGCACGTAGTCCTGCGGGGCAAGAACCAACAGCACACTGAGCCGGCAGAGGCCCACGGGTCACACACGAGAGCCTGTGGCAGGGGACTCCTGGGCACCAGGCCTGCACGGGGCAGGACGTAATCCTACCGGGTGAGCGGCGCCTGCTGGCAGGGGGCAGAACTGAACCTGACCGCCAGCCTTCTGCTCCCTCTGCCTTGAGCAGTGAGCCACACCTGGTCTCCAGCTACAATCCACACCCTCTACACCAGAAACCAGTGCGTGGAAGGGCTTGAACTCTGGGCACCACACAGGCAGGCACCAGCCTCGGCCACGTCCCCAGCCCACTCCTGCCTGTGCCGGTTGTAAGCAGGCGCACCCCAGTCCCCACTTCTTGAGGAGCTGGGATTACACAGGTATGTTGCCATGCCTATTTTTTTTGGTGGTACAGGTGTTTGTAAACTCATGGCTTTGCACTGCCAGGCAGGCGCTGTGACACGTGGTCACACCCCAGCTCTTTCTGCTTTGGTTATGTCTGAGATAGGGTCAGTGCTTATATGTATGTACGTGTGCATGCTTCCTGCAGCACCAGGAGGCCAAGCGTACGCTACCATACTCAGCACTTTTCTGGGTGGGATGATCTTTTGGACTCGGCCTGGGATGGTCTTGGGCCATGCTCCTGGTCTGTGTGGGCGGTAAGCTTCTAGATCTCCCCAGATGTGTCAGGGCTGTCTGACAGAAGGGACTCTGCCTGTCTCGTGGGAGAAGGGGGTCAGCTCCTCTCAGCTCCACCCAAACCCAGTGTTCTCTGCAGTCACGGTGACCACTGTAGCTTGGTATCTGCCAAGCAAGCTCTGCATAGACCACTGATGAAGATGTCATTGTATCATCTTGGTTAAGATACGTGGTCAGCAATACCATGGCCACTGGCAGAGATTTTCTCATTAGTTACCATGACATTCCAGACTTTTATTTCTATGTTCTTTTGTACTGTCAACTTCCAATCTGGGACTGCAGTCACTAGTTTGCTAGCTGGGATGTTTTAGAGAAAGACAAAGGACAAGTGAACTCAAATAAGCAGACAAGCCCGGCATTGGTGGCTCATACCTGTCATCCTAGCTACTCAGGAGGCTGAGATCTGAGGACTGCAGTTCAAAGCCAGCCCGGGCAGAAATGTCCATGAGAGTCTTATCTCCAACTAACCACCAGAAAACTGGAAGTGGCGCTGTGGCTCAAGTGGTAGAGCTCTAGTCTTGAGCTGAAGAGCTGAGGGACAGCACCCAGGCCAAGAGTTCAGGCCCCATGACCGACAAAAAAATTAATGTATATTTCACAGGAACAATGCTGTTCAAAGTAATTAATGGTGAATCCATTGTTAGCTCATGTGTCACCGGTACTGAGCCCCCACATCTGCCATACCCTGCACGTCCACTAGGTGGCAGAAGGCATGTGCTTAGGTGGTCCAGAACCGTGCATTCTCCCCTCTGGTTTTAACTGGTGAAAATGGAAAATGCAGTTAAACTCCCAAACTAGATGGTGCTCACAGTGAACCACACTGCGCTCTGTGCTGAGTCCTGACAAGGCAGCGCCTTCCTCTTGGGAGTCTGGGGACAACAAAGACAGGCGCTTCCATCCCGTAATTCTCCACGTGTGAGCACAGCACGGCGGTGGCTGGGGGGGAGGGGGCTCCCCTGGGGAGCTGTGGTCCCGGGATCACTGCAACACCGGTGGGGAGACTAACAGCTGGCCGCTCATCTCTGTGGAACTCCTGCACTGGCCTTCCGGTATGGGGGGGGGGGGGGGAAGGTGAAGGGGCGGGGTGGGGCGGGGCAGGGCCGGGCGGGGGGGGGGGGGGGGGGGGGGGGGGGGGAAGGTGAAGGGGCGGGGCGGGGCGGGGCCGGGCGGGGGGGGGGGGGGGGAAGGTGAAGGGGCGGGGCGGGGCGGGGCGGGGCAGGGCAGGGCCGGCCCGGCCCGGCCCGTGGGGAGGGACAGAGCTCTCTGAGCTGAGCGGGGGCTCCTGAGAGCACTGCTTCCCTCTGCTGGCGCAGTGTCAGAGTGGGCAGGGTTTCAGAGAGAAATGCTGTCCTCTCGTTATGGAGGGCGGAAGCGGCTTCTCCCCTCTGTCCCCCCCCCAAAGGAGCAGGGGCCGGCTGGCCTGCGGGGGCCGCTGCACTCCACGGAGCCTGAACACGTGCGCCCCGGTGTTCCTGGTGCTGGGAAGGCAGCTTGTGTCTGCAGCCGGCGGGAGGAGAGCCAGGAATGGGGTTCATTTGAAAATCGGCTGCAGGAGCCGGAATAGACTGGAACAACGGTGACTGACAGCTCTGCCTGGCTCCTTGCTCTACGCTGGCCCTGGGGCAGAAAGCGCTGCAGCGAAGCCTCACCAGCGGCGCTGGGGGAGCCTGGCCTTGGCTGCCATCGGCATCACAAACCAGACTGGAGAAACCCTCCCTGACCGTGACAGGGAGAACAAAGGACACCTCTCCCAGACGGATTCACGGGAGAACAGGGAGGAATGCGCCATCTTCATTAAACCAGTTAGACCCTGCCTGCACAATTGAATGTGATAACGCAAGCTCTGCTTTTGGTGGAAATTTCCTTCCGTAGAAATGAGTGTCATGAACTCCGAGCAGCGCGGGCACTGGCTGAACTCCGCTCAGACACGCTGCCCGCCTCCTTGTGGAGGGCCCAGCACTTGGTGTGTCTTCTGAGACACCCTCTCCAGATGCCCTGACCCCACCTACCTTCATCAGGAGCAGACAGTTCGCCGTGGAGTACAGCACGCGGCCCAGACGGGACCTCCACAGCTGAATGGACGCTGCGGGAGAAAGTGGCTTGTGAGCGTGTAAATAAACCAGTCCCCGGCAGCCCATCAACCCTAGTGCCGGGCATTCCGGTTAATTCCAGTGGGTGTAGCCCAGCGTTTAGTCTGCTGGCTTCCCTGGAGACGGAGAATAGTGCTTTCAGGATGATGCTCCCTAAGAGGACACAGTAGAAGAACAAGAAGGTAGTTCCCCAGTCCAAGATCAAATACTTCAATCATGAGCACTAAGAAAAAATGAACAACTCTGGGTGCTGGTGGCTCACACCTGTCATCCTAGCTACTCAGGAGGCTCGGTTCAAGGCCAGCCCAGGCAGGAAAGTCTGTGAGACTCTTATTTCCAATAAAGTACTCAAAAAAAGCTGTGATGCTGTGGCTCCAGTGGTAGAGCACTAGTCTTGAGCACAGAGGCTCAGGGACCATGCCCAGGCCTTGAGTACAAGCCCCAGAGACGGGAACACACGCACATGCGCATGTGTGAACACACGCATGCGCGCATGCCCCCCATACACACACACACACACACACACACACACACACGAACAAACAAGAGCTGGGCGCTGGTGGCTCACGCCTGTAATCCTACTCAAGAGGCTGAGATCTGAGGATCATGGTTCAAAGCCAGCCTGGGCAGGAAAGTCTGTGAAACTTTTTATTTTTGGGGTCTGGTCGTGAGGCCTGAGCTCTGGGCCTGGGCGCTGTCCCTCAGCTCTTCAGCTCAAGGCTAGCGCTCTACCACTTGAGCCACAGTGCCACTTCTGGCTTTTTTCTTTTTGCTTATGTGGTGCTGAGGAATCGAACCCAGGGCCTCATGCATGCAAGGCAAGCGCTCTACCACTGAGCTACCTTCCCAGCCCCAGTCTGTGAAACTTTTATCTCCAATAAACTACCAGAAAACCGGAAGTGGCACTGTAGCTCAAGTGGCAGAGCGCAGGGACAGCGGTCAGGCCCAGAGGTCAAACCCCACGACTGACCAAAAACAAAAACATAAACAAAAAACAAACAAGAACATGAACAGCCGCCACACAGCAGCGCTCGTCTGCTCGCAGCTCAGATGGCCTGGAAGGCGTCCTACTTGGGGACCTGGACACCTGTGGAAGGTGCCGGGAGAGGCAGGGCCCACCTGGGGCCCAGTGCATGTCAGCGTTACCTCTTAGGATTTGGGGCAAGTGCCAGCTTCCGGAGGTCTTGGTTGTTGTTTTTGGTTGATCGTGGAATTTGAACTCAGGTCCCTGAGTGCTCTAGCACTTTGAGCCACAGCTCCACATCTGCCTTTTTGGTGGTTTACTGGACTTTCTGGTAGGGCTGCCTTTAAATTGAATCCTCAAATATCAAGGTCACAGGTAGCAGGTAGGGATGAGCCTCCTGAATGATTCTCCAACTTTAAGGAACAATTCCTCATGGCGGACACTGGACTAGGTGTGACAAGGGCTGCAGGCGGGCGGCCACGCCCTGCACCTGTGCGCACCCGTGCTTTATTTACCAGTCTGTCCCCAGCGCACACTCCCAGAGGAACTGCTCGTCCCTGCTCGCTCCTGATGTCCAACCTCAGGGAGTCCAGACACCAACTCGAAAGCCAGCCACACACGAGACACAGCCCTGTGTCCTGCGTCTGGGCAGTTGTATGTGTGCACACACACATGTTCACACACAGAACGCCCCCCCTTCCACGGTGTTCCCGTGTCCTGCGTCTTGGCGGTCACAGGTGGCTTCTCACAGACACACGGAAGCCCAGGGGAGCCAGTGGTGGCCTTGCAGGCCCAGCATGTCCCCACCCACCCGAGGCCTCGCTGACCGTCCCTGCCATGGTCTGCCACCTGTGCCCCATCCAGACTCTCCAGACTCTCTCCGCCCCCTCCGCAGAGTCTGCTGCCAGAGCAGCGCCTGCCCGCGGGACGGCAGCCCGAGACGGCAGCATGTCCTGTGTTGGGCGTGTGGCGTGTGGCGAGGGGAACAGGAACCATGTGTGGGGAGTCCTGCCCAGGGTGAGGTAGGCGCGGAATTTCCGGTGCTGGACACTGAGGGCATTCGGAGAGCGGAGGCGGCACGCTGGCCGCCCAGCATGTGTGTTCTCTGCCCTGGCAGGGCACAGCAAGACGGCACGGTGGTGCTGGTACCACAGGCCTCCGCTCTGCATAAATGACTCAGGTCTTAGGTACTTTCACGTAGCAGCAGAAAACAGACCAAGGAAACAGCCTCCTCAATGTGCAGATCTGCTAGCGTGGCAGCCCGAGTCCTTTGGGTGACACGATTCAGGGCAGCCCTGCACACAGCCACCACGGGTGCCCTCACGCCCACTTCACTGGCTCCCTTCTGCCAGGGCTGTGGCCTCCCAGGTGAGGCGCTCTTCCTAGAGGAAGGCCTCTCCAGTGCTAATGGCAGGGCCGGGCCCTGTCCACATGCAGATCCTCCCCAGTGTCCGTGATCATTGGGGTAAGGCGTGTTCCCATTCCATGTGAGGGGCAGAATGTGCCCAGTGCACACCTGCAGCACGGCCACAGTGCAAACGCACTGGGTGAAGGAGAAAGGGGGGGGGGGAAGGGGACATGCACTGTGGAGCAAGCCTGCTCCACGAAGACGCCACTCACCTTGTCTGCTCTCTGGGGTGAGGCTGCTCATGCCCCCGTCCTCAGCAAAGCCCTGCTCCAAGTTGGCCAAGATCTGCAGTCATTCAAACGAGAACCAACCGTAAGAAGCACAGCGGTGTCTGTTTCCACGTCATAATATATGCTAGGCACAGACAACTTCTCTGGGTGAAGTGACCGCGGAGGAGTGTCCACACAGACACACCCCGCTTCTGTGGGGGGGGACCGTGAACGGATGGCCTGCTCTGTGGCGGAAAGTGACGTTTGGGTGGGGATGCCGGTGAAGTGCATTTCCAGTTTTTGTTGTGTGGAAATACCAGTCTTACTCTGGGCATAGCAAGGCATTGTACTATTTTTATTTTATTGGTACTGTATTTTATTTTTGTTGGTTGTGGGGCTTGGAACTTGGCCTGGGCGCTGTCCCTCAGCTCTTCAGCTCAAGGCTAGTGTTCCACGTACCACTTGAGCCACAGCGCCACTTCTGGCTTTTTTCTGCTTATGTGATACCGAGGAATTGAACCCAGGGCCTCATGCACGCATGGCAAGCACTCTACCACTGAGCCACCTACCTTCCCAGCCCTTTATTTTGATTTTTTGAAGGGCAGGATAAGGATAAAATGCCCTGAGGGTAAAAACTATTGGCTAGGAAGGCACTCAGCTGGTGAACCATCAGTGGGCCAGCCAGGGGTGGCTGTGCAGTGGGAACGCTCCTCATGACATCACACAAGGAAGAACTATGTGTGACTCTTGACTTAGCACACCTGGGCCCAACACCATCTAGCCTTCAAACCAATTTAAGTGATGTTTTACTAGTCCATCTATCCTGTTGTTCCCCCCCTCTTAGCTAGCCCCCCCCGCCCCGCCCCGCCACGCCCCACCCAATCCTGCAGCTTGAACTCAGGGCCTGGGTGCTGTCCCTCAGCTCTTCAGCTCAAGGCTAGTGCTCTACCACTTGAGCCACAGTGCCACTTCCCACTTTTTTCTTTTTGCTTATGTGGTGCTGAGGAATCGAACCCAGGGCCTCAGGCTTGCAAGGCAAGCACTCTACCACTGAACCACCTTCCCAGCCCCAGTCCCTGAGCTTCCTTTACTCAAGGTTAGCACTCTACCATTTAAGCCACAGCACCACCTCCAGCTTTTTCTGTGTGTATGTGGTACTGAGGAACGGAACCCAGGGGGTCATGCGTGCTAGGCAAGCACTCTACCACTAAGCCATATCCCCAGCCCCCTTCATCTGTCTTTTGATAAGTAGTCATGAAACCAGAAACAGACAGGGAAGAAAGTCACAGTGTCCCATTGCCATCTCTCTTAGGTGTCTACACAGCAGCTCCAGCTTCCCCACCCGGGGTGCTTCAGCACCATGAGGAGGGACAGCGCCCAGACTCCTGGCACACAGGAGGGGTTATGTTAATGGGTTTCTGACTGACCCTCTGTAGCTACTTCTCTTTTTCTCCTTCTTTCTGTCCTTCCTTCCTTCTCTTTCCTTTCTGCCTCCTTTTTTTTGGCTGGTCCTGGGCTTGAACTCAGGGCTGGGCTCTGTCCCTGAGCTTTCTCATTCAAGGTTAGGGCTTGACCACTTGAGCCACAGTTCCACTTCTGGCTTTTTGGTGGTTCATTGGCAATAAGTCTCGCAGACTTTCCTGTCCTGGCTGGCCTTGAACCTCAGTCCTCAGATCCCTGCCTCCTGAGTAGCTAGGATTACAGGTGTGAACTACCATGCCTGGCTACTTTTCATTTCTGAGGCACCTTACCAAATGATGCCCATTAGTGGGTTCTGTCTGATTCACAAGTGCATCCCTGGGAAGCTTACCAAACATTTGGTCACAGTGCGTGGTTTTACTGCTGTCTCCAGAGACAGCTCTCTGCATAATAAAGAATGCACTGGTTTACAAACAGCTGCTTCTACCCAACAGAGTGACAGACACCAGAGGCCTAACCCAGAGCTGAAGTATTTAGGAAATATAGGTATTGCAAGAAAAGCCTGTACTTGCTTATTAATTAAGGGTGTTAACTGTGGTTTATCTGCGGAGTCCCCATCCCTCCTTCTTGGATGCAGAGACCACAGTCCAAGCAAGCCAGACCCCAGAGCAAGTGCCAAGCACAGGCCCAGCTGGATCCAGGGCGTACTCTCAAGTTGGAGGTGCCACTGTATGTTAAGGTGCAGAGTGACATTGCTGGACCAGGGTAAACAGGAAGCCCAGGGATATTTCCGCTTTATGTGGTATGAGGGGAAGATCAGTTTTTCTCTTTTCACCAGCTGGGCGCTGGTGGCTCACATCTGTAATTCTAGCTACTTAGGAGGCTGAGATCTGAGGACTGAGTTTCAAAGCCAGCTGGGTTATGAAAATCAGTGAAACTCTTATCTCCAATTAACCAGAAAACTGGAAGTGGTGCTATAGCTCAAAGTAGTAGAGCACTAGCCATAAGCAAAAAAGGTCAGGGACAGCACCCAGGCCCTGAGTTCAAGCTTCATGAGCAACGACAAGAAAAGAAACTGAAAAGAAGCCAGGAGCCGGTGGCTCACGCCTGTCATCTCGGCTACTCAGGAGACTAAGATCTAAGGATCACAGTTCAAAGCCAGACCGGGGAATGAAAGTCCATGAAACTCCTATCTCCAATAGACCTCCAGAAAACCGGAAGTGGTGCTGTGGCTCAAGTGGTAGAGCGCTAGCCTTGAGCTGAAGAGCTGAGGGACAGCGCCCAGTCCGAGTTCAAGCCCCACGACCAACAACAAAAAAAAAAAGAAAGTAAGAAAGGACAATCACAGCCCAAGCGAATGCCACATGCACTGCCCCGCGTGTGTCCTGGCGACGGGCTGCCAATCTACCCCCTGTGGCAAGTGCCCAGGGTACACAGAGGGACAACTTCTACTTATAATTTTTTTTAATGGGGGAACCACGGTATAACCTCTCTTTTCACTGTATCTGATGTTGGTATAATTTGGGAAGGGAAAGAGAAAAAACAAATTGTTTGAATAGGGATACAGGTGGACCCATTACAACAATGAGATGTACAAGACACTATGTCGAAAGAAGAACTTTACAATTTAGGTGGGGGAGGGGGAGTGTAGTTGAGGAGGTGGGAGGGAAGGATGGTAGGGGAAAATCAGAGGAGGCGGAGGAGGCAACAATGCTTGGTGAGAAATGTACTCATTACCTTGCTCATGTAACTGTAACCCCTCTGTACAGTATTTTCACAATAAAAAACTTATTTAAAAAAAAAGAGAAAAAAATGGGGGAGGAGGATGTGCCATATTTTTTTTCTCTTGAGAAAAGGAGGCCCGTGAGGATGGAGGGGCTTTAGTGGTCTCTCGGCTGCCAAGGCGCAGGCAGGCCTTGCAGTGCGTGGTGGAGGCCGTGGGGTGGTCTCCAGGACACACAAGGGTCTCTGCTGCACCGCAGCTCCGCAGCCAGAACCCGGTCCTGCTGCACCGCAGCTCCACAGCCAGAACCCGGTCCTGCTGGGGTGGGCGCATCAGGGGAGAGTGAGCTCAGGGAGGGAGCAGTTGCCAGAGACTCACCAGCCCTCTGTGGTGCTGGCAGTGGGGAAGGTCAGCACAGAGCCAGGGTCCCTGGGTCGGGCTGCAGGACTGAAATCAGGACGCAGGAAGGAGGCGTCTCCCTCCACTATCTGCAGCCTACAATTGCCCTAAGCAGCGCTGTCAGTGAGGAGAGCAGCGACACCAGGCAAAGGACATCAGGCCTGAGTGGGTGACACAGGCTGGACTCTTCTAAAGCATGGGAAGGTCAACTAGCAGGTATCAGAAGAGTGGCATGTCAGCCATTAATAGGGAGGGGAAGACATCTTGGATAAGTGAGGATCAGAACAGAGTGACCCCATGGGACAGTGAGCACAAAGGACAGAGGGACCTCAGGGACAGTGAGCACACAGGACAGAGGGACCTCAGGGGACAGTGAGCACACAGGACAGAGGGACCTCAGGGGACAGTGAGCACACAGGACAGAGGGACCTCAGGGGACAGTGAGCACACAGGACAGAGGGACCTCAGGGGACAGTGAGCACACAGGACAGAGGGACCTCAGGGACAGTGAGCACACAGGACAGAGGGACCTCAGGGGACAGTGAGCACACAGGACAGAGGGACCTCAGGGGACAGTGAGCACAAAGGACAGAGGGACTGCAGGGGACAGTGAGCACACAGGACAGAGGGACCTCAGGGGACAGTGAGCACACAGGACAGAGGGACCTCAGGGGACAGTGAGCACACAGGACAGAGGGACCTCAGGGGACAGTGAGCACACAGGACAGAGGGACCTCAGGGACAGTGAGCACACAGGACAAAGGGACCTCAGGGACAGTGAGCACACAGGACAGAGGGACCTCAGGGACAGTGAGCACACAGGACAGAGGGACCTCAGGGGACAGTGAGCACACAGGACAGAGGGACCTCAGGGACAGTGAGCACACAGGACAGAGGGACCTCAGGGACAGTGAGCACACAGGACAGAGGGACCTCAGGGACAGTGAGCACACAGGACAGAGGGACCTCAGGGACAGTGAGCACACAGGACAGAGGGACCTCAGGGGACAGTGAGCACACAGGACAGAAGGACTGCAGGGGACAGTGAGCACACAGGACAGAGGGACCTCAGGGACAGTGAGCACACAGGACAGAGGGACCTCAGGGACAGTGAGCACACAGGACAGAGGGACCTCAGGGGACAGTGAGCACACAGGACAGAGGGACCTCAGGGGACAGTGAGTGAACAGGACAGAAGGACCTCAGGGACAGTGAGTGAACAGGACAGAGGGACCTCAGGGGACAGTGAGCACACAGGACAGAGGGACCTCAGGGGACAGTGAGCACACAGGACAGAGGGACCTCAGGGACAGTGAGTACACAGGACAGAGGGACCTCAGGGGACAGTGAGTGAACAGGACAGAAGGACTGCAGGGGACAGTGAGCACACAGGACAGAGGGACCTCAGGGGACAGTGAGCACACAGGACAGAGGGACCTCAGGGACAGTGAGCACACAGGACAGAGGGACCTCAGGGGACAGTGAGTGAACAGGACAGAAGGACTGCAGGGGACAGTGAGCACACAGGACAGAGG